ACTTAACCACTATTCATACTGCCTTCTTCTTGTAGCGGACAGCAATAGCAACTAGAAAGATGACACACAGGAGACTTTATAACTGCCATTTATTGAACAAATATGTGTTATGCTAGTTAGTATACATATAATTGTTTTATGCAACATTATGAACACTTTTCAAGAGAGTAGTAATTTTCCCATTTTATTGTCAGGAAGCTGAGCTTCAGAAGGATGTAGTAATTTGGTCAAGTTCACAAGGCTGGAATCAGAAGTCAAACCCAAACTCAGGTCTGTTGGACCTCCCCACACCTATCTATAAAGCAATGATCTATCTTCAGTTGCAGTGAATCATCCCATTCAGTAGATAACAATTTGGATTTATTCCTGGAGGGAATGCTCTGTGTATAGTAAGTGTGTAGCCTTGGTCTGTGTGCCTTCTAAGGCCTCGAGGGTGGGGTCAGACAGCCCAGAGGCATCACAAAGACCTCCTCTGCAGTATAGAAAGTCAGAGGACCCTCCACAATGAAGACCATACCAATATGCCTGGGAGCTGACTTTCCATATTTCTTCCTTTAAAGGAAAAAAAAAAAGAATTTAGAATGTTTCAAGAGAAAATTGTAAAATAGCGAGTGAAATTTTATGGTCATATTAAAGTAAATCCTTATTTCCACTCATCTAAAATAGCTTTGGAAAAGTTTAGTAACGACTTACTTCCTAAGAACTAAATCAAATTGACTTTTCTGAGGGAATTTTACATAATTAGTCTCAAATGCCCTCATGAAACTCATTCTTTCTTTGGTGTCTGAGACATTACTTTTCCCTAGCTTTCCCCTTCTTTCAAACCTTCTTTCTCATTCTCATTTTAATGGCATGGCTTCTTTAGCCTGTCCCTTAAACATGATGCCTTCCCAGAATTCCATCTTTGATTCTCTTTCTCTGCTTGCGAATATTGCTATTTGTCTCTCCAACAGGTCCTTTCTCTTCCCCAAAGAACTCAACTTTTCCCAGTTCTAAAGTTTGAATAGGATTGGTGCCCATACCAAAGAAGCAAGAATAGGTCTTTCTAGGCCTTCATCAGTAAGCATAATCTCATCCTCTTTCCTGGCTACAGTGGCTGTTTCACAAGGACACATGTGAAGTCAGGTATAAGTGAGTGAGTACATCATGTTCCTCCCAAATTAACTGGGGACAGAGTAAGCATAGGATTTAAACAAGTAAATCAGAACAGATCTGTGGAAGGCAGAGCAGGGATTGATGGAAGTTGGTTCTTATGAGACACTGTTCAGTTTTAGGCTAAATTTCAACTGGATATACTCTATTTTGGACATTTCAATTATGTGAATCAATAAATTACAAAGTTTGAGCTTACCTTCCTGTTACCTACAGTTACGAGCTTTTCAATGGACTCTATATACTTTCCCTCTAAGTAATGAAATCCATTTTCTTTATGTATAATTATTTAGCTTCTCTGAGATTCCCCAAGTTAAACAAGAAGATACTGACAGAATTTAAAAAAACAACATATTAAAACTTTTAGCATCGTGACTGGCATGTAATCAGTACTCTTTCCAGAGCAGCTGTTGTTGTTATTGTTATAATTATTTATATTCATCCATCTTTTATCTTCATTTGACTCTTGAGCTTCAGACCAAAATGTACAACTATTCATTCATTGCACATCTCCGCTTAGATGTGTCGAGGGGTGTCCCAACGTTCTTTCTACTGTATAAGCTGTAATTTGACTTTTTTTGACTGGAGAGACAGAGTTCTTTGGAACCAGTGGCTAGGATGTAACAAAAATGAAAACATTCTAAGACTTTGTAGTGGCTTTGCCTATAAAAGCAAGAATCCACCAGGGTCTGTTGTGAAGTCCTTGATTATCATTATGACAGAAATATAGCACAGGAAGAGTATACTTTAATGAGCTCTTTCTCATTTTGGGAACTCACTTGGCATGGGTTTTCACATAAACGCTTCACTTTTCTAAGACCACAGTACCTAATTAAGCAACCCATGGTATTTTACTACAAATAACATTGCGTTCTTATTTCTAAATGTTATTTCAACTGGTACTTGATCTCCTTCACATTTGACTTACGTGATTTTTCTAATCTTTCCTTAGGTATGCAACATTATCTGCCTGCCAAATTTAGATAACTTCTTGGAACAGATTCAGTTAAACTTCATGGTGGAGCCCTGTTATGATCAAGGTCAAATACCGGCTTATGATAAATTTTCAGATCATAGAAAAAGTATTAAAAAAAAATCCCATTTTCTTTTTCCCTCACTATTTTCCTACCCACCCTGTTACTTATAAATTCTTAATTTTATCAAGTCCAACACAAGACATAAGTTTACAACAATCAATTATGTATTTGTATCTTAAGGGAATATTTTCTGGGATTTTGTTGTGTGTGTGTGAAGAGGAGAAGTATTGAATTATCCATCAAAACTCACCAATATAGCCAAAGTTGGACATTAGTTATCCTTTAATTATTATTAGTTCTAGTACTTTTCTCCGTGTATCTGTGCATAGAGTGTATGTCGAGAGGTGGGGAAGGTGTAGAGAAAAAGAGAGAGAGAGAGAGAAAGAAAGTCTTGTGGCACAGAAAAATAGCTTTCACCTGAAATACATATAATGGGAGGTTATCTTGCTAACTTTAGAACCAAGATTACTTAGAATTCCATCTAGCAATCCATATGGTTTTATCTGATGACACTGGTTTGTTTAATTGCCAAGTTCTTCCCTTTGACATTAGCTGCCAGAAAGTTTAAAGCTAAATTGCTGGCTCAAACCCATATCAAATGCATGACTCATTATAGTTTGAATGATTAACCTTATTTATGGTTCCATCTTGTATCCAGTCCTTTATGATTTTTTTGTTTGTTTGTTTGTTTGTTTTGCCTTCTCTTAACCCAGGCTAATTTATTATTTTCTATTGTGCTTGGCAAGTCATTGCTAAGCTTTCTGAAATAATAAATAGGTAGTCAATATGAAGGTCTTTAAATTGTGAATTAACTGAATAATTATTTCATATACTTATTTCACTTTTTTTTTTAGACATGACAAGTTATTGTGCATACTCACTATCTGTTAGCAGCCAGGACTGGACTGGACGTGGAGTTTAGCTGTTAGTCTGAGAGGTCCCTCTAACTTACTTTGATTCTTCTTCTTAAATCTCTTAAACTCACTCTGCCTTCTACATTCCAGAGGAGTTTATTCTGTTTCTGGTTCTCCTTCACATTTGTAAGCTTTTGCATCGTGCATTTGAGTTTACCAAGCATTTCACAAGGCCTGTTAAGCAAAATCCCTACCTCATGTCTTGTCCATTCTAATCCATCCTGTGAATACACATGATACAATTTTCTTAAAATATTATTTTTATCTTTCTCAAGAACCACAATCTGTCGAATGAAGGTGAAACGTCTTTGCCTAGCCTCCATCCAACAGCTCTCACTAGCTAGCCCCATCTCATTCCTACAAATCATTCCTCTCTGCTCTCCAACATGAACCTTCCTCTTCACTGTTCTCATTTTTCCACAGCAGCATCACCTTCGTTCTTGTTTCCCACATGTTCATGCAGTTTCCATTACTGGAATACCCTCCTTGCTCCTCTCCTCCAATTCAAATCCAATCCAATTTTTTAAGACTCAAGCTGTGGTTCATTCACAAAGGTCCTAAATCTTAAAGATTGTTCCCCATTGTTCCCCATCAAATGTGCAATTGTTTATATATATATATATATATGTAAATACTATATATAAAATAAATATATAAATATATAATATATATTAAGTATATATACATATACTTTCTCCAACTGAATTATGTGTTCCTTGATGGCAAACATACTATTTAAAGACCTTCATATTGACTACCTATTTATTATTTCAGAAAGCTTAGCAATGACTTGCTGAGCACAATAGAAAATAATAAATTAGCCTGGGTTAAGAGTAAGCAAAAAAAAAAATACAGAAAAAAAATCATAAAAGACACCTATCTTGTGTCATGTTACTAAGCACAGCATTGAGAGTTCATATAAAATTAGTAAACTTACTAAGCCATGATCACAGCATAATCCAGTACTCAGCCAGAGCTATATATTTGAGAATCTGTGAAATAGAAGACCTCAGGGACTCTTTAATGGCCTGATATGTCCAACCAAGCATTTCATGTTGATAATACTGAGTCAAATTTGCAATACAATCCAAGTCTCCAACACAATATAGGTGAAAATGTCTGTGGCCTGTGTTTGGTTACTACAAACTGTGATTGAATGTGATCATGGGGAAGTATCTCTGTAAAGAACTGTCAAAAAAAATGAATTTGAGTTTTCTTTTTACGTACAAGAAATTCATATTCCTCCTTAGGAGTCTGAAAAGTTAGTCTGAGCTTTCCAAGATTCATATGCCCTAAAAGCCTTATTTCCAGGGAAGTCAGGTGTACTGCATGTGAGCTAATGTTGTCCCTTCCCCACACTTAGCTATGGACTCACTCACGTCACCATGACCAAGAGGGCCAGCTTGGTAAGAGGTCACACTAATCCTTTCCTCTTTAAAGACCCTTCTTCCCATCACATAGGTCAAGGTGCAATTAGTGTAAATAGAACAACTGACAGGTCAACTAGAGTGGAAAATTACATCCTTGTGGCCCTGCAGTCCCACATTGTTTTCATGACTTTGGTTAGGAGTTTGTTCTGTAGGCCATGACAGATTTGGAAGATTGGTGTAATTTTTATAATAAAATGCCAATTCATAAGCATAGCAAGAATGATAAAGTTTTCAACAAATCCCCATTTTGTAGTCATCTTTATTAATTGATTCAGGCAAGGATCAGTAGTAGATGCTAAAAACTTTGGGTAAATGTTTGTTGGGATGGAGATTAGCATATCTATAGTCTCACACTTTGTCCCACAGACTATTAATCACTTATGAAGGGGAAAATGGTAACCGTGTAGTAAAGAAAACTGGCAACACCACAAGTCAAGCCATCAAAATTAACATCACCAATAACAGAAAAATCTGATAGGATGTGCCCCCCTATGTAGTGAACTGAGATGACAGAGCATCCCCCATATAGCATTGAGCCAAAATGTATCACTAATTGTGAGGAAAAGTTTTTGAAAAACCAAGATTGAAATACATTCTGTAAAATAACTGTTCTGTACGGACTCTTGAAAAATGTCAGTGATGAATGATCATGGGTTGGAAAGGTTGGAATTTTTTTTTTTTTTCCTGTGGAGGATCTTTCTAGAACAACTAGTAAAATGTGAATATTAGATAATAGCAATGCATTATTGCTAATTTATTATGCATTTTACTAATTTCACTGTGGTTATAAGCAAATGTCCTTGTTCTTAAGAGCTAGGTTCTGAAATACAAAGGGTCAAAATGTCTGTCAATTACTTTCAAACATTTCGTAAGTTATATATATATATATATAATACATATGTGTAGATTTAATATACTTATATCTATCGACACATGTAATATGCATGTATTTATATCAACAATATAATATGTAGATATGTGGAGAGAAAAGTCACGGTGGTGAAGGGAATATGGGAGTTCATGGTACAATTCTAGTGAATCTTCTCCAACTCCATGTGGTAGACAGAATAGTGACCCCCTAAAAATGTCCATGTTTAATCCCCAGAATTTATAAACATGTTAGGTTACATGGCAAAGAGCCATTAATATTGCTGATGGAGTTAGTTGTCAATCAGCTGCATTTGAGATGGGGAGATTATCCTGGATTATCTCAATGCGTTAATCACAAGGGTTCTGGTAAGTGGATGAGTAAAGCAGAAGAGGGAGAAACAGAGAAATAGCAGCATGAGAAGGACTGGGCTTGAAGTTGCTGGCTTTGAAGATGAAAGAAGGCCCCACTGGCCAAGGAATTCAGGTGGCCTCTAGAAGCTGGAAAAGGCAGATTCTTCCTAAAGCCTCCAGAGGAATATGGCCCTGCTGACATGTTGATTTTACCGAAGTGAGAACCATTCAGACTTCTGATTTCCAGAATTGTAAGATAATAAACTTGTGTTGTCTTAGCTAGTAAGTGTGTGGAATTTACTACAGCAGCAATAGAAAACTAATACAGTTTTTTTTTTCCAAAATAAAAGATTAAAGGGGCACCTGGGTGGTTCAGTCAGTTAAGCATCGGACTCTTGATTTCAGATCGGACTCTAAGATTCGGACTCTTGACTCATGATCTCGGGTTTGTGAGATCAAGTCCTGCGTAGGGCTCTGTGCTGGGCATGGAGCCTGCTTAAGATTCTCTTTCTCCCTCTCCCTCTGTCCCTCTTTTGGACATGTGTGTGTGCTCACATACACATGTGCATGCTCTTTCTCTCAAAAAAAAAAAAAAAGATTAAGAAGACAAGGTTATCATAAGAATGATTTTTAAAAATTTGATCTCTAGAGGCAGAGGGTTGAATTGGGAAACTAAAATATTATCTACAGGATTTGTAATCTTTTAGAAACTTAATTTGTAACACAAGTGAAAATGAAGAACCAGAGTAGTGCACCTGGGAATCAACACATTGCAGAAATACAATAAAATCAAGAAGGAGTGAGGCAGGAAGAAAGAAGAATGTTTTCATCCTGAGAGACCTGGGCATATCAAGACAGAGACAGAGGAAAGAAGATAGCTTTAAATATTTTTTAAAAAATATGACATGTAAAAAATAGGTCATATAAAAATATATGATCCATTTTATACAATATATTACATATTTACATATATATTTCTATATTTATAAAGTATCATTTGGGGCATATGAAATATTACAAAGAGGGCTGAATTCTATTCCTGTCTCTGCCACTTCATTTTGCAAAACTGGGAAATAATATAAATCTTCTGAGCCTCAGACTTCAACAGCAGAGGAGAAATGATAGTTACCTTCATGACTTCTTTGAGAATTAAATGAAGAGAAACCAATATCTAAAAAGGGGGTTAGTATAAAATGGGTGGTCAGCATAGAGAGCAGTCAGCATAGTTATTGTTGGTTTTTTGGGCCATTGCTCACCTACTGTTGTTGATGCCCAGTAACACTCTTGGTTTTTTGTCCTTTGGCCCCTCCCCATCAATCATTTTCTGCCTCCTTTCTTTTTGTCCACCCCTTATATTCAGGCATTTCATAATTAGTAGCTCTCAACCCTCTTTTGTTCTCAAACTGTATTTACTCCCTGGATGGCTTTTTCGCTTTGATGACATAAAATATTGCCTCACTATTGGCTACATCTTAATATCTGTATCCAGTTGAGTTCTCATGTCTGAGTCCCATCATCAAAGTCACAGAAAGGCAGAAATGTAAATTACATCTTTGATACGTTTGGAGGGGAAAGAAGGCTGGGAACCGTGATCTAAGAGAAATACAGGATTGAGTAAAACTAGTTTTATTATTTTGTTTTGTTCCATTGTATTCTGGGGGATGAGGGAGTTTTAGTTAATTTATACACCAAAAGGAAGTTGATGAAGGAAATAATAAAAATAAAAGAGAAAGATGGTTGAAGAGGCAAGACATCAGGGGAGAATCAGAAACATGGGATCAAGAGAGATTTGGAGGGAGAACTTAGTATGATGTGTGAGTATGATGGGAAGTTTAGGACACAGATTCCCCAGAATTGAATTAGAAGGAGGAGAGAATGAGTCAGGTATAGAGGCTTTGAAACATTCACTCACTTTAAAGTTTTTTGTTTCCGGAAGCTGCAACTCTTGGGCATTGGTTAATAGTTGGTATGTATAGGGCGCCTGGGTGGCTCAGTCGGTTAAGCGTCTGCCTTCCACTCAGGTCATGATCCCAGGGTCCTGGGATCGAGTTCCGCATCGGGCTCCCTGCTCTGCGGGGAGCCTGCTTCTCCCTCTCCAGCTGCCTGCTTCTCTGCCTACTTGGGCTCTCTCTCTATCTCTCTGTCAAATAAATAAATAAAATCTTAAAAAAAAAAAATAGTTGGTATGTATAGTGCTTCTTACATCTGAGAAGCCTACCTTGGAATAGATTTAAAGTCTTTTTAATAATTTCAATGCTGATTATTTGACCAAAGAGCTATCTTCACATCTGACAAAATGATGCAAAGCGATTTGAAGCCCACATGCCTTCTCCTCAAACACTGGAAAATCAAATGAATAGGTGAATTGTGTGTTTGTGTGCATGTGTGTTTGAGCAGAGCCTCCAGATAAAATTTTTTCTCACTATGAAATTCTAAGACATCTTTATAATATTTTCTCTGTTCGTCTAATAAATAGAGAGCCTTCTGTG